CTCATGTGCTGGTTTTTCTTGTTCACATTCTTGGAAAGCTTAACATCTACCAAGAATTTTTCAAGCATTCCTCTTGTTTGTAGTTAACTTAAGAGGGTTTTGGGAAATTTGTCAACTGGATTTGACTTTAAAAAATGAAAAAAAAATTTTTTTTCTGTGATTTTGGGCATTTGAAAAGCAGGTGCTTGTGTCCCACACATGGGTATACATATACATACAGCATGAAGACCCCTCTCCTTTTCTTGGGATTTTGATCACATTGGTAGGGAATTGGGCAAAAATGTAAAAAAGATACCTGATTGCAAAAAGGTGAGGAGGAGGGCGCCTGGGTGGCTCAGATGGTTAAGCATCTGCCTTCGGCTCAGGTCATGATCCCAGGTCCTGGGATCGAGTCCCGCATCGGGCTCCCTGCTCCTTGGGAGCCTGCTTCTCCCTCTGCTTCTCTCTCTTTGTCTCTCATGAATAAATAAATAAAATCTTAAAAAAAAAAAAGGTGAGGAGGAGGATTTAAAGAGGTGGGTCTTTGGTTCTCTTAGACTGATGAATCCGAGATTCACTGCTGAGCAGAACTCACAACCTCATCAGTGGTTTTAACATCCATGCAGGTGGTGAAGCCTGGAATCTGGAGATCATACATATAAAGGCATGATAGGGCATTGGGTGAGAGGGCAGGAGACCCAAGAGTGAATGTACCATTGAGGATTCTGAGAAGATTGTGGAGCAGGAAGCACCAGGAATCTGTCTCCCCAGCTAGACAACACTTGCACTGGAAGAATCTGTCTAATTTCACTATTTTAGAACCCTGGAGTCTATTGAATAAGACAGTCTTGCAACTTCCAGAGGAAGGCTCGGATGGTTAATTTTGGTCAATTTCAGCTCTTAGTAGGGTAGCAGCTATCCTAAAGATTCCACACACAAACAAAACAAAACAAACCAAAACAAACCTGTTAGAACCTATATATGAATTCAGCAAAGTAGCAGGATACAAAGTCAACACACAAAAGTCAGTTGCATTTCTATATGCCAACAATAAATATGAAAAGGAAATTATGGAAACAATTATGGAAACAATTTACAGTAGCATCAAAAATAAGAATTAACAAGGAGGTAAAAGCCTGTACAATGAAAACTACAAAGTGCGAATAAAAATTAACTTCGAATGGCTCAAAGACCTAAACGCAAGACCTAAAGCTATAAAATTCTTAGAAGAAACACAGGGCAAAAACTTCATGACATTGGATTGGGCAATGATGACTTGCATATGACACCAAAGGCACAGGCAGCAAAAGAAGAACTGGATTTCACGAAAATTACAAAAAAAAAAAAAAATTTGTGCAAAAAATTTTTTGTACAAAAAAAAAACACCCCACTATCAGCAGGGTAAAAAGGCAACCCACAGAACAGGAGAAAATATTTGCAAATCACATGTCTGGTAAGAGATTAATATCCAGAATATATAGAGAATTCCTGAAACTCAACATCAGTAACATCAACCTAATTCAAAAATGGGCAAGGGACTTGAATAGACATTTCTTCAAAGATATACAAATGGCCAATAAGCACATGAAAGATGCTCAACGTCATTAATCACTAAGGAAATGCAAGTCAAAACCACTGTGAGATACCATCTCACACCCATTCAAATGGCTAGTATCAAACCCTCAGATAATAACAATGTTGGTGAGGATGTGGAGAAATTGGAACCCTTGTGCGCTGTCGGTGGGAATGTAAAATGGGACAGCTGCTGTGGAAACAGAAGAGTGGCTCCTCAGAACATTAAAAACAGAATGACCATATGATCCAACAATTCCACTTTGGGGTGGAATAATTGAAAACAGGTCTCAAAGAAGCATTTGTACACCCATGTTCAAGCAGCAGCATTCACAATAGCTGACATGTGGAAACCACCCAAGTGCACATGGGTGGATGAACAGATAAGTACGATGTGGTACAAACATAATGGAATCTTCTTCAAGCCTTAAAGGGGAAGAACATTCTACTACATGTTACGACAGGGGTGAATCTCGAGGGCACTATGCTAAGTGAAAGAAGCCACAAGTCGACAAATACTGTATGATTCCACTTATAGGAGGTACTCAGAGTAGTCAACATCATAGAGACAGAAAGAATGGTGGTTTGCAAGGGCCAGGGAGAGGGGGGATGGGGAACTATTGTTTAATGGGTACAGAGTTTCAGTTTTACAAGATGAAAAGCGTTCTGGAGAGGGATGGTGGTGATGGTTGTACAACAGTGTGAATGGGCTGAATACCACTGAGATGTGCACTCCAAAATAGTAAAGATGGTAAATTTTATGTTCTGTGTATTTTACTACAGTAAAAAAATTGGGGGAACGAAATGAATATGGCTGCCACGGTGTGGAGAAGCAAGACGGAAACACTCGAAATTCCCTGCCCCTGACAAATAAATGATGAGCGAAGGGGCTCCATCTACGTAGAATGGAGGGAAGCAGCCTGTTGATTTCAGTGAAATCAATTTCATTGATTGAATTTGGGGAATCATCAGAGTATGGCTTCATAATCTGAGCCATCACTTGGTTGGTCTCTCCAGAAATGAGCTGCCATTGTCTGATCAGAGGCAAGAGGTCTGGGGTAAGCCCTCACTTTTTTTTTTTTTTAAGAGTTTATTTTATTTATTTGACAGAGAGAGACACAGCGAGAGAGGGAACACAAGCAGGGGGAGTGGGAGAGGGAGAAGCAGGCTTCCCGCTGAGCAGGGAGCCCAGTGCGGGGCTCGATCCCAGGACCCTGGGACCATGACCTGAGCCGAAGGCAGATGCTTAACGACTGAGCCACCCAGGCGCCCCAGGCCTTCGCTTTTGTAGGGCCTTACTCAACCCTGGCCAGGAGGGGCCTGGTACACCAGCACCTTAGTCCTGTCCTTTGCTAGTGGACCCAGAGTGAGGGGTACTTGGCTCTTTGGGGAGGCCTGTGAGCGCTCACCCCTGCAACATGGCTGGAGCTCCCTCATTCCTTTTTTGCTTCATTGGCTACAAGATCCCTCTCTGAAAGGCAGCCTCCAGCTTTCTTCCTCTGGCAGAAAGCCAGCTTCCCTTTGCTGCAAGAGAGCTTCGATAGGGACCACCGAAGGGGTTGGGTAGCCCTGATCAACTTGCAACCATGTGGGACCAGATGTCGATGTGCCGGGGAGCCTCTCCCTGTGTCTCTGTGTGCCCTGGCTCCCTTCTTCCTTCCTGTCTGGGAGTCCTGTGGATGGCTGGTCTGAGCCCACACTGCACTTTAAGGTCACTTCTCCATGAGCTGGAAGAAAGGCAGGTCTTTCTGCTCCCTTTACCTCCAACTTCCAGAAGAACCCTGCCCCTCACCAGCATTTCCAGAGGGGGCCTTGGAAAAAGGGCCCGAGAGAGGCCTAGCAGAGGATGCCATCTTTAATGTGCCTTCTTCTTGGAGCAACTGGACCAAATATAATTCTGGAAATTACATTTCCAGATCAGCATCCCAGGTCATTTTCCTTAGACAAAAATTTTCAGAGAGCCACCTTAGAAGGTAACTCATTAATTGAGAGATGAGATAGAAAAAATCCATGGCAAATGCAAAACTCACAGCGTGGCCAGGACAGCATGGGTCGCCTCCTGCCACCTCCCCGACAGTTCCCGTGGCTCTCGGCATTGGAGCGAACGGATGGTGTCCACTGCAGTGAAGGCAGTGGTCCTTCTGGCCCTTGCAGCCGGTGAGGACAGGGCTTGTGATAGCCCCGGGTGATGGCGTACAAGAGAACAGCGAGTGTCCTGGGGGGCCGCGTGGACACAAAGGGAGAATGTGAGGGACTCAGTCTCAAAGCTGCAAGCGGTAGGAGGGAAAAACACATCCTCTGAGAAGCAGAGATGCAAAGGATGGCAAGTCGAGCCCTCTATACTGGGGTCAGCGAACTACGTGTCTAAAAACCACCAGGGAGTTTGTTCATAATGCAGAGATTTGGCTCAGGTAGTTTTGGGGGGGTGGACTGTGCATTTTTAAAGGAACCATTCCCTGACCCCGGGAATTCTGATGCAGGTGGTTCAGGGTCCATGTTGAGGCCCTCTGCCCCACATGATACCCGAGCTCCTTCTGTGGCACCCCCAGCACACGGCCATCGACTCGGCATCCAGTGCTGGGGCAGCGAGAGGACGAGGGAGCTGCCAACTGCAGGCGTCTTGACAGCCTGACATCCTCATGCTTAGCCGGATCCAGCTCCCCACAGAGGCCACCCGTCAGGAGGCGGCCGAGGCTTGTTCTCACGGGAACAGCACAGATGACGCTTGAGGCTCAACCTGGTTCTGCACAACGAGTTTCAGTCACGCAGGCTACTAGGATGTGCTTGCTCCAAATCTCTGACCATCGTGCACTTTCGATATTGAGAAACTATCATTGTGATATTGGGCAGGGGAAGAGCAACTTCGTTATTGCTCGTGAGGCCCGAGTGGGGGAGGGAGGTGATAGCTAGAGGACCAGGTTTCCTTCTGTGGGGGTGAAAATATTCTAAAATTGTGCACTTCTGGTTGCACACATCTGTGGATATACCCCAGTCCACTAAATTGTGCACTTTAAATGGGTGAATAATATGTTTTATGAATTATATCTTAATAGAGCTGTTTAAAGAAAAAGTTCATTACACCAGGGGGCATAAAATACACTCTCTACAGATGCTAAAGATGTTTCAAAGAGGGGTGCCTGGGTGGCTCAGGTCACGATCCCAGGGTCCTGGGATCGAGCCCTGCATCAGGCTCCCTGCTTGGCAGGAAGCCTGCTTCTCCCTCTCCCACTCCCCCTGCTTGTGTTCCCTCTCTGGCTGTGTCTCTCTCTGTCAAATCAATAAATAAAATCTTTAAAAAAAAATGTTTCAAAGATGTTTCAAAAATACACTCTCTACAGACACATGTTAAAGATGTTTCACTATTCGTATTTGTATATACGAATATAGTGTTATTTCAGTGACACAGTGTGTTTACCACATAGAGGGAAATAGATTTTTACCAATCGAGGGGGAAAAAGAGATCTAAGAACTCCATAAAATCTCATGTGTTGGGGGAATGGCTTTATTTATATAGTTTAAAATAATTCTGATAATTACCTATGATATTTGACTCAAATCAGTAATGACTTACTTACGACTTTGCTTAGTACCCTGTTATCTCTACAGAGATACATTACTGAGTCTGACACATCTCAGTTTGAAATGTATGTCTCAGTAGATGGTTGGTCCTGACATTGAATCCCAGTGGGCCCCAGCTAAGCTGCTGCCTGACTGGCTTTCTACCTCAGCTCACATTGTTCCATTCTCTGGTCCTTATGGAGTCCTAATTTTTTAAAAAAGATTTATTTGAGAGAGAGAGAGAGAAAGAGAGAATACAAGCAGGAGGAGCAGACAGAGAGAATCTCAAGCAGACTCCATGCTGAGTGTGGAACCCGGCATGGGACTCGATCCCAGGACCCTGAGACCATGACCTGAGCCAAAACCAAGGGTCGGATCCCTAACCGACTGAGCCATGCAGGCGCCCCTGGAGTCCTAATTTTACCTTGCATTTTCTAGCTTAAAGCTTTTCCTTTCTAAAATCATGAACTTCTATCTATGATCAAAAGTCCTGAAGGGGATCATTGAGTCATTTCTCAGTCTGTGTGGAAGCTATTGCTTCATTTCACTAATGACTAGTTTCCCTTCTAAGAACCATACAAGGAAAAAATGCCCAGAGCTTCTCTCCTATGATGCTCAGAACACAGAACTATGGAACAAGAAGGATTCTTAGCGATTTTGGGCAGCTCTATGTTCACGGGCCGAGGGAGGCGAAGTGCAAGGAAGTCACCAGGTAGCAGGTGAGCCGAGACTAAACCTTCTGACTCATGGCTCGTCCCATGTTCTACAGTTTGCACTGCCTAGGAAAGCCACAAAGAAAACAAACCCCCGGATACCTGTCTCCCCCAAACCAAACCCACCATCTAGTTCTAAAATCAAGTCGTAGCTGTTTCTGAACCACCAAGCAGGGGCTGCCCCATCCCACCACTGAAGGAGTAAGACCTTCTCCCCAGGGAAACGCAGCTCTGGGAGGCAGAAGGAACCCAGTCACACAGAGAGAAACAGCCCACAGGCTCCTCCTTCCCAAGTGACAGAGTCTGGAAGAGTGCTTTTCTCCCTCCACAACACAACGGATTGCCGCTCCCCGGCTAGCCTCCAGCATCCGCTCCGTGCCAAGCTCTGGCTTCCATCCAGCCCCTCCTCGGGAGCCAAACCCCAGACTCTCTTGTCCTAGGAACTGGTCCAGAAGGGCTTTGGCAGTCGGCAAGGAGGAGCTTTATACCACAGCCTGGGGGGCCCGGCTGCCCAAGCTCTGGCTACCTGGGTGGGTGGCTGGGACCCCTACTCTGCAGAGCCCTGCCCCAGCACTGCAAACGAAGGGCAAAGAAGGGAAATGACAGGTTAGTAGCAGCACTGGGGGGCTTTTGGGGGCGGGGGAGTGAGCGATAGCTTGCTCTGGCTGGTTCTTCCTTCTTCTGGGTGCGGAGGCGTTCGATGACACCACTACCTGAGTGCCATGTGCTTTCTTCTTCAGTCCAGCCAAGGAGTTAGGTCCTGGGCTCCTGGAGCCGCGCACCCTCTTCGCGCCTGGGATTCTGCACTCCAGCAAAGCTGGCGCTGGGATAGGATTTGAGGGCGTGCGGGCAACTTCTCTGTGCCCTTCCTTGGAGGGAGCAGTGCCTGTGGTCTCTAGTGATGGCCTCTCTTGGGCCTTGGAGTTTCATTATTAGGATTGCTGGGACGGGTTGGCCAATTCTTTTGTTTCTATGTGGTAGATTTTCCTGGCCAGTTTCAAAGGGCAGGCAGGACAGGTGGGAGTCCGCCTCTTCCTGCAGCCCGTCGCTGTGTCCCTCAACCGTTGTAAGGCACCGTCAAGGACAAGGCGGCACTTTCATATGTTAACATTTCTCAAAATTGAAAACCCATGGACCCCGAAGACCTACAGACCCGCTGCAGAAGTACATTCGGTTAAATTCTTGATCATTCGGCATGAATGACACTGTAAGCACCAAGAGAAACATCCTCCAGCTACAAAGTCTCTTCCCCACAAGATTCAGAAGGTACTTACCTTGATGTTATTTGAGAAAAAAAAAGGGGCCAGAATGGACAAAAGTCCCAAACTCCCTTTAGAACTCATGGCCTCTTCCCTCTTCCCTGCTACCACGCCTTCTTTCCCCGCGCCCCTGCCAGAACTCTCGGGGGCTCCTAGATGCCGTTTTGAGGAATGGGTTGTAGAAGAGTCTTCCCCCTAACAATAAAAAAAACCTCCAAGGAAAGAGCAGGAGGTGGGTCTGGTCTGTGGCCCCCACAGCACAGTCAGACTAAATAAGGGAAACTGGCCACGCAATTTGGAGTTGGGAGGGCCATGGGGACCCTCTCCTTCAAGGCCATCTGATTCAGGACTCTGTTGTCAAGCTCCCTGTCCATTACTGGACAGCTCCTGCTAATGCAGTGTTCTCACAGCCAAAGTTAGCTGACCTAGAATTTTCACTGATTGGTTGTGCTCTTGACACCTGAGACCCTACTGAATTAAAAAACAAAACAACCCCCAAAGATGATGGGGCAGGGGGCACACAGGCCTGATTTGAGCTTTTTTTTTTTTTTTTATTTGACACAGAGAGAGAGAGACAGTGAGAAAGGGAACACAAGCAGGGGGAGTAGGAGAGAGAGAAGCAGGCTTCCCGCTGAGCAGGGAGCCCGTTGCAGGGCTCGATCCCAGGACCCTGGGATCATGAGCTGAGCTGAAGGCAGACACTTAACTGACTGAGCCACCCAGGCGCCCTGAGCCCGCTCTCTCTCTCTCTCTCTCTTTTTTTTTAAATATAAATGGATGTAAGAAATTCATTGAGGAGCCAATGAATGTACTGATTTGCTTCTGAAGGATGTACAGATGGGGGAGGTGGGAGTTTGGAGGAGAAGCACAGATGGAGGAGTCTTTTCATTTTGATTTGTCACTGAGCAGAGACCTGATGGTGCCGAGGGTGTCGAGACTCACCAGATGCAAACCCAGGGAGGAAGGGCAACACAGACACACGGCAAGCACAGCCGGCAGGAAATGTGTTTCTGCAGGGCTCAGATGCCTGAGGAAGGACACACAACCAGGGATGGGGGATTTCAAACCCCAGTCCACGGTCCTCCCAGGCGACAGACCTGGGTGCTCACAGATGGCTGAAGACCTAGGGATGTGTCCCGATGATGGAGGCAGACTGCTCCTGCCACCCCCACTCTTAGAGAACGAGTGTCGTCTACGCCCTTGCTTGCTGAGCCAGGCACTGCTCTCTGAAGTGCACGCCGGGCCTGCTCGGTGGAGTGATTTTGTCCCGCTTCTCTTGAAATCTGTGTTCTTTTTGGTGCCATCTGAAGGCAGATATTCTAACTTCCTCATTGAAAATTTTGTAGAGTTCTGGGGCACCTGGGTGGCTCAGTTGGTTAAGCGACTGCCTTCGGCTCAGGTCATGATCCAAGGGTCCTGGGATCGAGCCCCGCGTCGGGCTCCCTGCTGGGCGGGAAGCTTGCTTCTCCCTCTCCTACTCCCTCTGCTTGTGTTCCCTCTCTCGCTGTCTCTCTCTCTGTCAATTAATAAAAAATAAGAAAGAAGAAAGAAAGAAAGAAAGAAAGAAAGAAAGAAAGAAAGAAAGAAAGAAAGAAAGAAAGAAAGAAAGAAAGAAAGAAAGGAAGAAAGAAAATTTTGTAGAGTTCTGAGCACAAATGCACATCTAGAGAGTCCTGTTTTGGAAAGCATCTAGCATCTGCTGGTCTCTGTCATATATATATATATATATATATTTTTTTTTTTTTTTTTTTTCAGCCAAAACAGCCTTTCAGGGACACAGTGATGTGGGTAGAGTCCTTAGGATAAATCAATAATGTGATTCTTTTTTTGGTTCACTAGATTATTATGTAAAGTGTTTGAAATTTGTAAGCTTTTTCGCTGGCTGATGAAACTTGATAATCACTTGAGTTTATATGCCAATGGTTATGTTTAAAATGTACACATGGGATTGACTTGGGCTATTTTTAGAGGCATGTGGGCTACTTGGGCCCGGGTAGCCCACTCTCCCTGGGTACTGTTGATAAGCTTGAGATACACCCAACTGGCCACACACTAGAGAGCCCCTTGGCTGCCTCAGTGGGGGCGGTCTAAGGCAGTAGAACAGATTTTGGTCTACACTCTGCTTTTGCACTCGCTGAGACGTGCTGGTGGAAGTGCTGGTCCTTCTCTGACGAGAACAAGGAGGACCCAGTTTCCTTAGGGACTCAATGGACTGTCAGAAACTGATGTGTGTGGTAGCCTGTGGAGTGGGGAGAACCTGGGGACCCCGCCTTCTTCCCTGCTGTTTCTCAGATGGACAGAAGATAGTCCCACCCAGTCCTGGTGGGTCTGAATTCTCCGGGTAGCTGCTTAGTGAAAAAAGGACCTGCTGCTTCTAGAACCATCTCTCAAACTAGGAAGGAGTCCTTAATCAGACGAGTACACCAAGGCAGGCATTGAGGACACCATGTGAAAAATCAGCTATTGCTGGGCTGCTTGCTGTCTAGTGGGCGACTGGGAAGGGAAGAGCCTGTCAGCTGCAGCTTCCATTGCTGGGACGACCCCCCCAGCCCACATGAGCACAGGGCATCAACGTTCAGTCCTCAGGTCTGCGAGGGGGGGCTGGGGCTGACTGACCTGGTCCCTCTTCCCTCCTGGACATCCTTCCTATGAACTAATTTTTATTTTATTTTTTAAAATTTATCTATTTGAGAGAGAGAGCAGAAGTGAGCATGAGCTGCGGGGAGGAGCAGAGGGAGAAGCTCCCTGCGGAGCCCGACGCAGGGCTGGATCCCAGCACCCTGAGATCACGACCTGAGCTGAAGGCAGACGCTTACCCGACTGAGCCACCCAGGCGCCCCCCTATGAACTACTTTTCAGTGCTGGCAGCTGAAGAACTTAACTGATGGTTTGCACTGATGTTGACATGAGGCGGCATGGCCACCGGAGGCTCACAGGATGTCGCCTCACAGCCTCCCACAAACCGTTTTCTGAAGGGCTGAGCCAGGGGCTGGGCTAATGTGGTATACTGACATCATCAGCAGGTACAAGAAGCAGAGTGGGATGGAAGGTGATGCAGGAAGCAAGTCTCCTAACGTGGCGTCCTGCAGACAACATGAGAAGGCACACAATACCCTGTCCTGATGTTTGTGAAGAGCTGACAAAAATATGTCAGAAGCCACAGCGTGAAAACGGGGCTGGGAGCTGGTCAGAGAAGGCGGCCACATGTCCGTGAGCGAGCTGGCCATGCCCCCCTTCTCGCTCCCCCCGCCCCACCCCGCAGAGTCTGAGTGTCCTGCTCCGCATTGTCTGCCTTTCAATCCCATTGTTCTTAACAGTGTATCTAACTCCAAGGCATCTTATTTTGGAATCACAACTCCAAAACCTCTTGTTTGAAGGGTAGTTTCAATTTATTGATGAACCGAAGAAACTAGCACAATGGGACTGTGAAAGGCCAGGAGAGAGGGATAGGGGTTCGTTCGGCCCGCTCTCCCGCGCTGCCGGGATGCGCCCTCCCGCACCTCAGGGGCGGCGCCCCTTGGAGGGGGAGGCCGGGCCTGCAGGGGGCACAGTTCTCTGCCCCTGTGTCAGGCGTGGGAAACTCTCCACACCCCCGCTGGAAAGACTCCCTCTGTGGGATCATAAACCTGCACCTGGGACCTAAAAAACACAGCTCTTGGAAAAGAGTTTTCCAGTCTGCAGCTATGCTTTTTCATACCTTTGTATTCATTTGTGTCTGAAACAGCACGTCTGGAGACAGACTGTAAACCTGGCCCACTAGATACTGATATTCTTTTCTTCTCTGCTGCGTAGTAGTCTAGATCCAGGTGGGTCCCTCTCACACTCCAAAGAGAAAATAATAAGACCTTACGTTAGAGTTTTCAAAGGCGTGAACATACGTTGCCTCCTTTGAACCTGCGAGTAGCCCTGGGAGGGAGGCAGGCGGGCATCGTGGTCCCAGGGTCCCGAGGATGGCTGGACTGGTGAAGCCGGGAGCCAGATCCACGTCCTCCAACTCCTGGTCCAGGGCTCCTTCCACCCCACAAGATGAAGCGAGCTCACCTTGATGAGCACAGCAGCCTTCTGCTGAGAAGGGATGATGTGTCCTTCGGGCTGGCGGACCAAGGTGACTGGAGGTACAGAGCTCATCAGTGGGCTCAGGGGAGAAACACACCTGAGTGAAATCTGACATCAACAGCAGACGGGTAACTAGGGCAGGACACGGGCATCTTGGACGAGGGTTTCCTCTTTTCTGGATTCTAACCTGGACCACACCGGGTGCTGTAGCTGGAACTCAGCAAAGTCCAGGAGGAGAGAAGGCATTCAGAGGACTTTCTCATCTAGCAATTTATGGATTCCTTCACACATTCTCTTGAGGTTGGGCTGGCAGTCTCCATCCAGACTATACAGGGTGGAGAGGAACTCCACGTCAGCAAAGTGGTTGAAGACGTGGTTGATGCGCCCGTGGGTCCGGGGCGTCAGGTGTCGCTGTACCAGTTCGTGCACCAGGTCCTTGCACTCGTGCAGGAGCTTGGAGAGCACGTTCCTGTCGAAGGTGTACTCCACCTCATAGAAGCTGACGATGGTCATGGCCGTCTGGTTCAGCTTCTTCCTGAGCTTCTCCACGATGACCACCTCGTCCTGGCTGAACTGGTTGTGCCGGTAGAGTATTCCGATTTTGATTGCCACCTTGATCAAGTCTTTCATGATCTTGTGGGCTTCCTTCTTGTTGTGGGTGTGCTCTCTGGTGACTTTGTAGAGCTCATCGAAGATCTCACTGCTGGTGTCATCAATCAACATGTTCGCCATGGTTTTGCTGGCGATTTTGCTCAGGATCTTCTTCTGGGCTTGAAGGGCAAGGCTCTTTGAACTAAAAACGTCGGGACCTATCGTGAGGAAAGAGAGAAAAGTTATAGAAATATGAGAACCATTTATTATGTTTCTACAAGTGAAACACACTAATTTGAACTTACGTTCCTAGAGCAAAAACTCATGCCTTTATATCCCACCGCTCCCTCACCAAACCCCACCAAAGCCTGGGATTGCTCCACTGTCCTCTCCACATACCATGCTTGTTTGCCCTCTTGAATCTTCTCAATCGCCCTCTTTCCTCTCTGGAAGGGGCCTCCTCTTCTCCGGGCCAAATCTCACCTTTCCAGACCTACTTCATGCACAATGCCTTCCTGACCCTATTAGCTCACAGAGAACCCCACCATTCAGTTGTGCAAATTACCACTTAACGACAAGCATGGGGCACCAACACCAGCACCATCCGCAGGGCGGACATACCCAGGCTGATCACGCGGTCTTTTTGACTGAGTCTCAGAATCCATATTTTGAGTTTCAGGGGTCTTCTTTTTCACGTTTCATATCTTGGATATTGATATGTGTCTTACTGTCCCTGTTCCCAGGGGGGACTTGTGCTGTGGTTATCTTTATCTATATGCAAGCAGTTTGCACAACAGGAGCCGGAGATTTGGGAGAAAAGTCAAGGGCACTCGGAGAAATATTGCCTCACCAATGCCCTCAGCTGGCATAGAGAACAGAAGGGCACCGTGTGCGAAACACACAGACAACTCCAAGTCAAAGATGCTTCAGACGAGTAGTGCCCTGAATGTGAAGCAGCTTAGAACAACCAAAGTCAACTAATGTCTCTTCTTTTCCACTTTATGAATGAACAAGAGTAATATATGTTAAAAAACCCCCCACTATGTCTAAGTAAGTCCAAAAGGATCCTTCAATAAGTATAAAATTTCTAAGTAAAAAGAAAGCAGTCACTCACAGTTTAATTGGCATCACATTGTTCTTTCTTAAGAGCACATAAAAGAGCCTCTTACAATTGACGGTGTCTTAGATTTGATGAACTACTCCATGAAGTCACCAATTAGCTAGAGCTGACATCAGAAACCCACTGGCCATCTCTCTACAGTATGTACACGTATTATTACTCTTCCAGAGGAGAGTCAGGTTGCCCGAGGACGGAGACAGTGTCTCCCACAGCACCCAGCTCCGTTCTGGGCACAGGGATGAAATGGTGTCTTCTAGGTAAAATACCAGAGAAACAGTGCAGAAGAAGAAGGTAGTAAAATACAGTGCAAATTTATATTAAAAAGTAGTTTTCCTTTGAGAACTGAAGACCCTTCTAGGATCCATAGAGACTGTATCCAGTGCTCTGTGGCCACAGGGAAGTGACAGATAGGACAGGCAGAGTGGACACGTGGCCATACATGCCAGGTTCCGCAAGCCTCACCTGGCTGCCCCACCTCATGTTCCACGTGCTCTGCCCACCCTGGACTCATTCGCTCGGTGGAAAGTGATTAACACCCAGATGCTCAGGTCTCACGGACAGACTCAATAAACACTCCCACACAACTTAGACAAGGCTCATATGCATTCCCTCCACCCGCCTGCCCCCTCACAACGGGCCCCGCCTTGCTCCCTCAGGCCTGGGCCCTTCCAGGACAGTGTCTTCTGCTCTCAGGCTTCTAGCTGCTTTTCAGGCTGCCAGCTCTCTCTCTCAAGTCTGAAACCATAGAATGTTCAAGCAACTTTGCAGTCAAGTGACCCTGACATGGGCGGGATGTTCCCTTCAGTCAAGGTGCAAAGGAAACCAACAGCATGTCCTGACTCTTCTTCACCATGAGAAAGCGCAGACCTCCTGATTTATGCCCTCCAGAGTTTGTAGCAAAAAATACTTCTGCCCAGTCTGACCATCTGCTACGGTCACCAGACCTTTGTGTGAATGACCTTTGTTCCCCAAACATCAAATTCGTATTCCAGGGCACCTGGGTGGCTCAGTTGGTTAAGCTCTGCCTTCGGCTCAGGTCATGATCCCAGGGTCCTGGGATCGAGCCCCGCATTGGGCTCCCTGCTCCTTGGGGAGCCTGCTTCTCCCTCTGCCTCTGCCTCTCTCTCTCTCATGAATAAATAAAATCTTTAAAAAATTATTAAAAAATTCATACTCCAAAGACAAATATTTACAAGTATTGAGGATGCTCAGAAGACTGTGCTGTATGCTTAGGATTAAAAAAAAAAGTCAATCCCACAGAAGAAGCTTCAAGACTTAAATAGTGGCCCTGCACTAAAATAGGTGTATGCCTACTCAGGTTATTATTCTGATGGGAACAATGGAATCTAGATGGATCTTTTCTAGAATATATATATAAAAAAATGAGTCATTTCTTTGTAGATATAGCTCCTCCTAAAAGCTGCCTGAGAACGAGGTGCATTAAGAGGCTCTCTAGAAATGCAGCAAGCCCAGGCTGACACAGAAGCGACAGATCAAATGCATAGATGGCCACGAGAATGTACGCTCTGTGAGAGCCGGAACCTGTGTCTAAGCCCTACTGTGTGCCTGGTGCTTCACGCACTGGTGGCCCAGGGCAGGTACTGGGGGAGGAAGGGAGTGTGGGCTGGCTCTGCGCCAGGTGTTTCTTGCTTCTCACTCTAACTGGTGGCTGAAGCTGCCATTTTTATCAAGCCTTCCTTCTTAGTCTTTTCCCCTCCCAACACTCTTCTCTCGACCAGTAGCCGTCACACCTTTTGCTCATATATTCCCATAAGAATTTTGAAAAACTACGCACCTCCTTGCACCCGTGATGGCAAGTATTTTTCACCTTAAGGTTAAATAATTTGTTAATAGATATAATTTCTAGATATTATAAAGTATTTAAAAATTAGTCTGTTAAATCATTCTTTTAAATATGTCCAATATAACATAGCACTACGGTGATATAACACAAGCTCTTCTTTAAAAATTAGAAATGTTAGGGCGCCTGGGTGGCTCAGATAGTTAAGCGTCTGCCTTCGGCTCAGGTCATGTTTTCAGGGTCCTGAGATCGAGTTCCGCATCGGGCTCTCTGCTCCTTGGGAGTCTGCTTCTCCCTCTGCCTCTCTCTCTCTCTCTCTGTCTCTCATGAATAAATAAATAAAATCTTAAAAAATAAAAAAAATTTTAAAAAAATAAAAAAGAGATAAAAATTAGAAATGTTAGAGATGCCTGGGTGGCTCAGTGGGTTAAGTGTCTGCCTTCAGCTCAGGTCATGATCCCAGGGTCCTGGGATCGAGTTCCGCATTGGGCTCCCTGCTCAGCGGGGAACCTGCTTCTCCCTTTCCCTTTGCCTGCCACTCCCCCTGCTTGTACTCATTTTCTTTCTCTGTCAAATAAATAAAATCTTTAAAAAAAATTAGAAATGTTACATTGTTCTTTTCCCTCCCTTGAAATTGTATCTCTATTCCATGACACCCAGAGAATTTTAACTTAATATATTTTTATGCTTGAAAATGTTTTATTTGATCAATTCATCATAATTCTCTACAGCCAAAGGATGCATACAAATTGAAATTTAAATTAAAAGACGATTCCAGTGATCATAAATCTCCAAGTCTTAAAACATTTCTTCTAGAGTGAGTTATTTTGGGGTACAATATAAAATGTTAAAATGTTGTTGGGGCGCCTGGGTGGCTCAGTCGGCTAAACGTCTGCCTTCGGCTCGGGTCATGGTCCCAGCATCCTGGGATCCAGCTCCACATCGGGCTCCCTGCTCAGCGGGAAGCCTGCTTCTCCCTCTCCCACTCCCCCTGCTTGTGTTCCCTCTCTCGCTGTGTCTTTCTCTGTCAAATAAATAAATAAAATCTTTAAAAAATATATATTAAAATGTTGATAAACACTAAACATAAATAAATTTTTATTGGAGATGCACCTCCAAATGAGATGTGTAGGGGTGGGTTATGGCGTCTTGATTCAAAGAGGCACCATGAACACCAGAGCTTCACGTCCTCCCTGTGTCTGACCAGGAAGGTTCTGCACCCCAGGGTGATATATTTGTCTCAGTACGAATCTTCATGGGTGAGAACTCTGACTAAAAACAGTGGAAAGGAGAGAGGTCCAACCATGCTTTGACCTCAGGTTGTTTCTCAGGCAGGAAAGTGTAGAAAAGAGTATGTATTAAAGTGAGAGGAATTGGATCTATAATCAATTCCCTCCAAATCGTCCTCGTCTGCACATCACATGGGAGGTCTCTCGACTCTCGGCGGTTCGAACACTACATGGAATTCTCCTCTTCGGTGAGAGCAATAGAGTTCCAAGAGGTGATAAGAAGTCCTCTTTGGGGGTAAAGAGATTCTTGACCAAGTAAGTTTGGGAAATACTGGGTTAAGCAATTAGATTTCTTTTCCTGTGAGACTTTAAAACACTCCTTTAATACATTAAGGTGTTTTATCAACTCTCTGAGAGGGCTGGGTGTGGTAGGCAGAATAACAACCCCCCTCCCCCCACAAGATGTCCGTGTCTTAGTCTCTGGAACCTGTGAGTGTGACCCAGCAAAAGAGACTTTGCAGATGGGACTGAGTGTAAGGATTTGGGGATGGAGAAATTACCCTGGATCATCCAGTGAGCCTGATACAATCACAGGGGTCTTTCAAAGTGAAGGAGGGAGGCAGGAGAGAGTGGGCCAGAGAGGGGTCCATGACGGTGGAAGTAAAGGGTCAGAGTGATGTGATCGCTGGCTTTGGAGATGGAGGAGGGAGCCACCAGCCAAGGAATGTGGCTGGCTTCTAGAAGCTGAAAAAGGGAAGGAAACACAGTCTCCCCTAGGGCCTCCAGGAAGAATGCAGCCCTGAGGATAACACTGATTTTTAGCCCTGTGAAACCCACTTAGGCTTTCTGATCTCTAGAGGTGTAAGAGGATACATCTGTGTTGTTGGAAGCCACTAAGTCTGTGGTAATCTGCTTTGTAATAGCAAAAATAATTCAGGTGGATGGACGTGATGTAGCATTTCCCAAGTTTATCTGGTCAGAAATTCTTTTTGTCTTTTGAGTAGAGTGACCAACTGCCCTGGTTTGCCAGGATTGAGGGGTTTCCCATATAGCTGACTTTCAGTGCTA